CGTTTCGGCCCTACTATTAGCACAGAAAATGAAAAGAGCACAATACATAATAAAATATACAATTGGGCTGACAGGCCAAAGCATCAGAGCATTAAGACCAAGCCTCTTTAACCATCACTTACCCAAAGAACTGCTGATGTTGATATTTGTTGAATGAACGCTGCAATTTGAGATAACTGCAAACACACACACACACACACACACACACACACACACACACACACACACACACACACACACACACACACACACACACCATTTACGCACCCGTCGTAAGAGAAGCACGCAAATGTGCACCAATAGATTTTCTCTTGTAGCAATGATAGCGGACAAGATCTGAATGAAACAGATGAAGACTAACGCCAGATAACTACCTAAACCATACAACTGGGGAAGCCATGTGAATCCACACCCAATGCACACCTGGTCTACACCACCCAGAATAGAGCAGCCAAGATCGGTTCTTCACACGCGCCCACGCACGCACACAGACACACACAGACAGACAGACAGACACACACACAGACACACACACACACACACACACACACACACACACACACACACACACACAATACGTACTTGGGATCGGCTGCATAGCTGTGCTGTACTGGGCGAATACCAAAGTGACATATTACAGGATGCTCCTGCAGAGAAACACAGCAACACAGAGAAACACGAATAACGTCATGCTTGTCTAAGGGGTTGTCCATAACTATTGAAGCTTTTTCAAAAAACGAAATAATTTCGTTATGGGGTGGGAGGGGGTGGACCACTTTCATTACAGAAAACATTGAAACATGTACACAGCGATAGGAGCAGTGACACACTTGCGACTTTTGCATGTATTATGCCAACATTTTTTACATTCTCAGGGGGAGAGAGTCCAAACTAAAATAATTCGTTTGGTGAAAAAATCGATATTCACGGCCCCTAAACACTCACGGCTCCATTGTGAATTCTTCTCCGTTCTCAATGCATGGAGCATTGAAAAAAGACACACCAATGGCCGCAAGATTCTGCAACTGACTATAGCCAAACCTCGCATAACCGCACGCATCTGTTTTCCGCGAAATTATCCGGATAGGCGAGGGGACCCGATAATCAAACACACACACACTGTATGTATGCATGGCATATGCTGTAAATCGGTAACCAACGATTTCCTTCCGGATGGCAAGGGATCCGGATAAAGGAGGACCGGATAAGCAAGGTGTGACTGTAGTACTGCAGAAGATCTGGCAGGAGGACTGTGTCGGCAGAGATTCACCATGCCCAACTACTGGCTTTGGAGTTTCTTCTTCGCACAATGAATGTTCTGTTCTCAGCCCACAGTACAGGTCATCAGCACATAAAGGAAGCAGCAGGCCACGAGGTGACAAGAGAAACTTTTCAAATTTGGTTACAGGTGTAGCCTCCCCCCCTCTCAACACACCCACACCCCCCCCCCCCCCCCCACACACACACACCCACATACATTCACATAATCAGATACGTATCACCACGGCTTACCATGCCTTCCTTGACTTCAAACCGGTCGAGGCGGATGGTGCTGGGTTTCTAGGAGCAAACAGAGCACATGCAATGATAGCTGTTCAGTACATAACAAGCAGCGACCAAGGAGTGGATAGGACATACATGCACAGTTAAACATGTCAAGACGATCACTCGCATAAGGCGACCACCTGTCCAAGAAGACCACTGAAACCAGGACCAGGGGATGGTATTTCCAGTCAAATGAACCTGGATAAGGAGACCACCTGGTAACAGAGACCACCTTTTGAAGGTCCCATGAGCGGTGGTCGTCTTACACAGGTTTCACTGTGCTGTGTACTGTATAGGCAGAAAATTCCGTCGGTGAATAATTTCGTCCAACTCCAAAGAAAGGGAGTTCGTCCGGTTGTAAATTCCGTCCATGGATCATAAGAGTGTATTGAAAAGCTGGACAAATTGACTTTCTGACTGTATAATTTATTATAGTATCATGTTACAGTGATGGAGAGTTACTCTTAACTCGTATCCATATGTCCTTTTCTCTTCTACATAAATTGACATTAGTCCGGCATTTAATTTAGTCCAAAAGCTCCTTGGACGAAAAAGACGAAATTAAATTCCAGACGAATATTTCTGCTTATCCAGTACATGCAAAACTTGAATGGGCCGGAAATTTGTCGACTTACAGTATCCGCTATACAGTAGGCAGTGAAGAGGAACATCACACCAGTAGCTTGCTTATTATTACCGTAAAATCCCACCAGAGCGCCCCTACCTCCTCGACGCTTCAGGTGGGGAGGGGCGGACGGGCGGGTCCTACTTGCCGCATTCAGTGCTACATGAAAAAGTACGAGTCGTAGACTCACCCTGCGAAAACTGTTCGTGCATCTCGTACACCGACCAAAGGTCAAGAGCCAGGAGTCGTACAGACCCGTCAAAACTCAGGGTTTGTGCGATCCCTGGTCAAGAGGGTGGGCACTGTTGCGTACATTTCCAACGGGGTCGAGCACGCGTCGACTCTGCAGTACAGTACGGCATCACAGACTGTGACAGAGTCATACGAGGATACAATCAATCACGTCCCTGACAAGAAGTCAGGGAGGGGCGGATAGGAGAGACGAGGCGCTCTGGCGGGATTTTACGGTATTGCTATTGTTATTAAATTTTTGATAGGGCAATCCCCACAGGCCTAAGGCGTTCTTACAGGGTACCCTAAATGTGCCAATATAATACAGTGAATCCTGTCTAAGACGACCACTCAAGGGACCACCTTCAAAGTGTGGTCTCTGTAACCAGGTGGTCTCCTCGTCCAGGGTAATTTGACTGGAAATAGCATCCCTTGGTCCTGGTTTCAGTGATCTTCTTGGACAGGTGGTCGCCTTGTCCGAGTGGTCACCTTAACAGGTTTTACTCTACATGGTAACGGAAGCGAGAAATAGAGGCGCTTACCTTGTAGCTGGAAAACACCAGCTCGTCGGCAAACTCTACCGGGTTACCTTCGTACTTAACACCTCCGCACGGCTGCAGGGTGCCAGATAAAACAAAAAGAACACAATTTAAACATGATAGCATCGTTGGCCTCCAGCGAACGTCCCTGGTTAGGTTGGTGACCTTTCCCGTTTTCTAAACTAACGAATATTCAAACATGAGAGAGACAAACGGGCAAATATCGGCACACCAGCGAGAGCACCCTCGCACGCACACCAATGCTGACACACACCCCACCCAGCGCACACACACACACACACACACGCACGCACTGAGAGAGACTTGCCGTATAAAGGGGTCGGTGGAAATCAACCAGATACTTGAGAATCCGGTCCATAGAGAGTAGCGGAATTGGACCATCGCGTGTAGCTGTTCACAACACAACACAGAAGATATTAGTTTATGGCCACACAAACAAACAGACACAAAGCTGAAAGGTCCTACTGTTCAGTCATTACACACTGACAAGGAACTGGGCATCCAGAATAATAGTGGTCTTCTTTAGAGCGCGTGCCAGGATTTAGTTATAAAGAAAGAGAGAATGAGAGAGAGAGAGAGAGAGAGAGAGAGAGAGAGAGAGAGAGAGAGAGAGAGAGAGAGAGAGAGAGAGAGAGAGAGAGAGAGAGAGAGAGAGAGAGAGGGAGAGAGAGAGAGATTAATGGATGGAAGTTTGCTCTCATTATTTTCTTGTGACATGCGCTTACATGTGTTAGCCGGCACAAACCGCGGATAGACATGGAATCGCGGACAGGTGTCCTCCAATTGCCCTGCGATAGAGAGAAACAGAGCCAACACAGAACAAAGAATACAAGAAACGGTTCATACAGGGATAATCGGATCACAAACAGGGTGGTACTTAATCCACACAATGCTTACTACACACAGCACTACACTGAGTGCGTTCAATTATAAACACGATTCGCGCTATTCACATCACCCCATACGAATAGGGTGAATGGATTCCGAATCGATTCCAGGGCTCATGACATGAAAATCAAACGACTTGAATGCACTTGAATCGATTCAAGTGCATAATCGAACGCAGCCACTGGATGGCACCTCTGGAAATGACCCCATACACGAATACAGCCTAAGGCAGCAACGGCACATGCAACACAGTGCTGTATAGCACACCTACAGTCAATTTTGCGTATAACGACACTCGGCCGGGCATCAGAAAAGTGTCGTTATTCGCGAAGTGTCCTTATACCCGAAGTCCCATTATATGTATTTCAGTTAGATGGGACTTTGCTCTGGGCATGGAAGTTCTGTCGTTATTCGCGAATTGTCGTTATATCTGCAGTCGTTATCAGCGAAGTTGACTGCACCCAGACCCAACCATGCATGCGCACGCACAAATGGACACACACACACACACACACACAGCAGGTAGATGCTTCTTACCCATCAGATCCCAATCGTATAGCTCCAGAAGTTTGTTGAACAGGAAATCGTGGAATGTGTTCAGACAATCCATTGTGAAGTCCTGAAATACAACATAGGACGTCACATCATTGGTACTTGAAAGTTAGTTTACTTCCTTTTGTGTACCTCTTGCGTACTTGAAAGTCAAAACATCATGCCATTTGGCTGCGTAGTTTGTGGGTGCTTCCTGGGTCGGCCTCGTTTCGGTCTTTGCCGCTGCGCGCTGGGCGGAAGTTCGTCGAACATACAACGCAGTACACTTCACGCCAGTCTTCACGACGATGCGTGTGTTCACGGCGCGGAAGAATGTCCTACCAACCCACCACCTTCGTCATCTTACTATACCGTATGTCCGCACCTTTAAAGCCATGGCGGTATATTCGATTATAAAGCCAGTCCCAGTTATAAAGCCATGGGCTTCCTAAATGAAATGATATAATTATGAAGTATGTTTTGTAAAAATGAAGGAATTAATACGGTAATAGCACACTTATAGCCCAGCAGGAAGGGTGACCAAGTGGAAAGTTCTGTCTACTTTGACTGTTATGGCATGGCATAGTGTGTGAGTTATTTTATATCTAAAATAAATATCTAGGAAAGCAGCGGTGTGTCGAATATAAGGCCGTGGCTTTAAAGGCGCTGACATACGGTGTAACTTTGAATGCCGACAATGAGCTAGTCGGTATGTTGGTAGGACAGTTCAACACCTGAACGCACGCATCAAACAACAAACACCACTTCACATACTTCCACCTAGGGCACACCAGCAAAGACCGAAACAAGGCCGATCATGCAATTTGCATAAATACGTCAATGTCAATTTAGGCATTTACCAACGCGGCTGAACCAAGCGGCAGGACGATCCAAACGGTGTAAAAGTGGATACCGGTGGTGATAAAGCAATGAAGCCATCCCCAAAACAGCACATGAACCTCCGAAAATCATTACCATGCCAAAATTCTAAAGGACGCTTCGTGCAGCTTTATCACTCATAAACCGAATCTACTGAGTGAAGAGAACCCACACGGTGACTATCAACCAGTGAAGTGATGAACTAGCAGTATCGGAGGTGGCCGGATCCCCACCTGCCTTTATTGTAAAACTAACCTCATTTCGAAAAGAGGCCACTTTTGTTCAGTGGAGTATTTTTGTTCCTCATGGACCACCGAAGTGGACTGAACGGTGCTCGCGAAACTCCTGCTGCAAAGAACCTACACTGTAGGTCTAAGACTAAGAGTCATGCGTAAGAGAAAACGAGAGCAACAGGACGATCGTGGTCAGTCTGCTGCTCAAATTGGCATAGACAATTCGTCTGAACATGCGTTGGATTTACCCTCGAAAGAAAACTACGACTTGCCTGCCAACATTCAGCAGACATCGTCAGGAAAGAGGGAGAAACACCTCCAAACCCAGAAGGAATCCAACATGGGTATTCTGCAGATCCACAGCATGTACAGCAGGATGATTCATCGCCAGACCCCGTCAGCGAATAATTTCGATGAAGATCTTGGTTATGCAGGAGAAGAGGAGGTGCAATGCAAAAGATATGGATGCAATCGTCGGAGACCAGCGAACCAGATATGTGTATCCCGCTAACCAGTAAATCATCTTGTAATAGTTCGTCTCACGGTGTGGCATCCAGCAGCTCCTCGGAACATGGCACTGTACCAGTGGGTAGCTGGGATGATCAAAGGCCATCTGAGAGAGCACCGACCAAGACCGCGTCAAATCAGGGTTTTGCGCCTGCTAGTGAGTCTGAAAGCGATTCGTTGGAGAAATAGCCACCGAACAGGGTGTTCTCCGCTGATAGTGCTTCTGGAAGTAGTTCAGATGAAACTAGTCCATCTGGATATGCCGCTGACAGCGGAGGCTCGGAGAAGGACTATGATAACCATGACGACGAGGTTTCACCATCTCTTCAAGCAGTAACAGATTTGACATACAGTTTCAAAATGAAGCGGTTAGAGAGAAATATGAGCGCTCGAGTAGTCAGCGAACAACTGAATTCTCGATTTAAAACCCAATACAATGGGAAACAAATTCATAACTTCGAAAACGGTCGTTCGAATCCTGATAATTCGAATATGGCTTAATTCGAACATACCGCTTAATTAGAAGTTATTCCAGCACCGATTTCTATCAATACGATTCCCACATAAAGAATTCTGATAATTCGAACCTCGAACTGGACATGTCCGGTTAATTAGAAGTCCCACAGATTCCACTTACATAGAACATGTGTGGGATTTGTGCTGATAATTCGAAGTTAGCAAAGTGTAATTCGAAGTTCACTGTACACTGTACCGGTCAGTTCAGTTTGCACTAGCAGGTTGTGCCGGTCAGTTCAGTGTCCATTAAATTTGTGTCTAAGGTCCATAGCGCAACTCTGCGTGACCATGAGAGCATTTTGACATACGTAACGAGAGAGCTTGGAAGCTCAGGGCCCTACGCTATGCTTTTTTGCCTTGATGACCTAGACAAAAAAAAGCATAGGGATGTTATAAATTCTTTAAAAAAATCCTTTTTTTAAGACAAAACCTGGGATTCGAACCCGCACTATCGCGCGCCCTGCATGCATCCCCCGATACACTTCGCATACATACTAATTCTTCCAAGTTGTTTCACATTGTGATCTTGCATTTGAAAGCCCTATTTGAATATGCATTGTGGCCAGCCGTCTTTTATGGCACGGTATGGTAGGGGATAGGTACGGGACAGGTACGATCGATGGTAATACGACACCGTCTTCCGTACCGTACCGTACCATCAAACACAGCTGGCCACATACAGCTGCCCGCAATATTCAAATAGGGCTTTCAAACGCAAGATAATAACGTGAAGCAACTTGGAAGAATGGGTATGAATGCGAAGTGTATGGGGGAATGCATGTAGGGCGATAGCGCGGGTTCGAATCCCAGGATATGCCTGAAAAAAAATAGGAGAATTGAAAAATTTATAACATCCTATGCTTTTTTGCCGTCAGATACGGATAGCGCCAGGCGTGACACAAACAAACAAACAAACACACAAACAAATACCAAATTAAAGCGGTGTGGACCCTGGCTAGCGCCAGACGTTACTGAAGTAACGTCTTCTGCATAGCTACGGGAATAAATACCACTGTACTTTTCCATGCAGCACTGCACTTTTCCCTAAAAAGGAGCATTTTATAAACAGTATTTATTGGCCTAGTGGTATTTTATAAACAGTATTTATTGGCTTTTGGGCCCATAAATACTGTTTATAAAATACCACTAAGGCCAATAAATACTGTTTATAAAATACTCCTTTTTAGGGAAAGTGAAGGTCAACAATATATTATGTATAATAAATGTAGTAGCCTCAGGATTTATTGCAATTACATACCAGTTATAAAAACCTCGGGGGACCTCGGTTTTTATACTGGTATGTAATTGCAATAAATCCTGAGGCTCCACATTTATTATATACATAAGATTCAAATAGCTTCGAGAAAAAGTCGTTTCGCATTGCTAAACCTCACAAGTTTTCTTTTTCGAAATAGATTTTTCGCGAAATATCGCCACCACCAAAAGTTCGAATTTTCGCATTGCTAAACGTCCCTATTGTGCTTCTTCCCTGACATGTTTACACAGCAAAAAATCTTTTTTGCAGCAAATGGTCGCTTTAATACAAGTAGAAGTTCATCGATTTTGGTTAAACCTCTTTTGAGACTTCTTTGTTCTGCGGCATGACCGCGGAACTAATATTATTCATTGCTATTATTAAATTATCGTCTCCACGTCGCTTACAAGTATCTGTGCTCATTATGGAAATACGGTAACAATAAGGTTTGGGTGGACTGGACAACCCGTCTATGTGATATAATAATAATAGTTACAGTTCGCATGTCACTCATGGAAGGATCCATGGGCTTAACGCATCTGTCAACGAAATCCAGGCAGAAGAGCCGACAAAAGGCATCTCATTATTGTTAGAACGTATCGCAGCAAGAACAACTACGCAAGCGCAGCACATTTTTCCACAAGCATCAGCCATTCTTTCTTGTCTAGAGCCAGTTCAAAACAGTAAGAAATATCAATATTGGCGTGCTTTAGATCACTTTTAATATTGTCAATCCATCTGAGATGGGGTCGGCCACGTGGGCGCTTGATGTCCCGGGTATTAATTGCCATCTCCAGTGCTTGGTAGGATGCTGAGTTACGTCCTTCGCGAACAACATGGCCCAGCCAGAGCAGCCGACGTCTGCGACAGGTAGTGCTGACTGGGCCTTGTCGCGTTGAGGCGTACACCTTGGCATTCGACATGTGGTGAGGGTACACCACACCAAGCAGGTACCGCAATTTTCTGCGGTGCCATGCGTCCAGCCGATTACTGAGTTGCTGTGTCAGGGCCCACAGTCCGCAGTTATACAACAGGATAGGCAAAATGAGGGCAGAGAACATACAAAGTCTGGAGCTCAGTTTATGACGCTTCCACGAAATGGAGCCGAACGCTCTATTCGCAGCACCTATTCTTGCCTGAATATCCTCTGCGGACCCTAACAAAGAGCCAAGCAGCTTGACAGATCGCCAAGAGGAGTCGGCTTTAGTTACTGTAATATATTGTGTTTTCTGAATATTTAACATTAGGTTATCTTCTTTGAATTTTTCACTTGATTTCTCCACAATCTCCTCGACTTCTCGCCTCTCCGTGTCATGGATTGTTGTGTCGTCTGCATATTGGGTGGTTGGTGCTGGTAAAGATAAGTGCGATAGTATAGGATCAAGGTGGCGCATGGCTCCCTCAGCATACACATTGTACATGATGGGAGACAGCGGATCCCCCTGCACTACTCCGATATTTGTAGCAAACGCTTTGCCTAAATGAGAACTGAGTTTCACTCTCACCGTCGTGTCCGAGATCAGAGTGGCAACGACATCAGTGGCAGCTCCAGAGTCTGAAAATCGCGCCAACGCCTTCTCACGGACAATGGTATCAAATGCTCCGCTGAAGTCTAATAGTGCGGCAGAGTATTTCCAGTCACCGAGTAGTGCACGTTCGCACATGACACGCGTATAGAAAACTCCGTCAGCCGTGGAGCGTCCGGGTGTAAAGCCTGCCTGACTTTCACGTACATATGAGGTGGTAGATTGTTGTGAACGCATGGTGATGATGCGGGTCAGCACCTTGCGAACAACTGATAGCAGCATGACCGGTCTGTAACTTTTCGGTGCACCCATAGGTTTTCCTCGTTTGTATACTGGCACCAGAAGGCCACATCTAAGGTCAGGTGGGCAATAGTGGAGTTCCTTAATGGAGTTGAATAGGGTAGTCAGCCATGGAGTAATGACAGTCGAAGCCGTACGTAGCAGTGCCGCACTGATCCCATCACATCCAACAGCGCCTCCGATTTTCTGGTGCATGATGGCCTTCCTAATCTCTTCAGAGGTAAATGGTTCGTCTTTCGCCTTACTGTTAGGCTGTGCCGGGAAAAGCGTTGGCTGGTCGCTCCGGTAAAACACTGATGCGAAATACTTGCTGAATTCCTCCAAATTCCAATTTACATTTGTGACATTTTCACCACTATCATTTGCGAGTCGTACTGGGGAAGGTTTGTCAGGATTTCGAAGTGCTTTTAGCTGTTTGATGGCATTGAAGTACGATCTTGCATCCGGTCGTAATGCGTCCACTGCCTCCGCTTTGTGCTGCCAATATAAGTCACCTTCGTTTCTGAGTAATGCTCGGATACGGTGAAGGATCTTGTTTCTACTTTGTGTTAGTTCTTTCCGCTTGTTCGGATCTTTTTCCATATGTATCCGGCTGTGAATTTCTTTTTGTTGAGTTGATAGCTCAATGACAGCAGGGCTCGTACTTCTAGCAATCCTCTTCTGTGGTTTCTTTCTTCCAAATGCCTTTTCCGCTGCTGCATGGGTAGATGACACAAATCTCTCCCAGGTTTGGTCTAGCGTGGAAATATCTTCAGGTGGGGTGTTTATGTCTGGCAACGTGCTTGCTATGGCATTTTTGAAACTTTCAGCAGAGTCTTGTGTGGGTTCGTTGTACTTGATGAAACAGCGGTCGTTGGTTGCTTTAGATGTTGTACACCGCCAGAATGTTAGTCGAAAATCTGCAATAACCGGATGGTGATCGGATCTTGTTGTGAATCCACCGTATGACCTGGCATTCACAACGCGCACTGTGTTTGATCTTCGCATAATCACAAAATCAATCATGTTTCGAACAGGTTGGCCATCCCTGTGTACGAGCCCATCCGAGAACCATGTCGAACGATGCTGCATACGATGTTTGAACATGGTGTTGCACAACATCAGATTTTGCTCCTCACACAGCTCAATCAGTCTCTCACCGTTCGCGTTGCTTGATACGTGCTTGGAGAAACATCCCACTGCACCTCCTGAAGCAGGTCGGGCGCTCCCTACTTTTGCATTCAGGTCTCCCAATATCATAAAATCATCTCTTCTACTGACCTCCCGGGCAATACCTCGTAGTGTGGAGTAGAAGTCATCTGTTTCCTGAGGATGTGATGTCGAGCGTTGCAGCGTCGGAGCGTAGCAGCAGACCACCGTGAGGGAGTTGCTGTCACGTCGAGGTCCATTTCGGAGACGAACTGATATCATCCGTTCGGAGATAAATTTGTACGACTCCACATTATTTATTAGTTTCTTGTTGATGAGAAGGCCAACTCCAGCTCTGGACGACGAGCCACCCGAACGATACAGAACATGTCCGTTGTCGTACGTGTCTACACCGGCTCCGTTCAGCCAGGTCTCCGTCAGTCCGAGGATGTCAAGCCTGTATTGTTCGAAATCTTGTATTATTGTAATTTTCTTGATGTTGCTTTTCAAGGAACGAGCGTTGAACGTTCCTGCTCTGAGGGACGAGTCATTCCTACTGCGCTCCGTAAATACAGTAACTGTTGCCTTCGGCTTATTCAAGCAACTCATCTAGTAGCAACTCATCTGTCTGGAAACATTGTCAAGGAACAGAAGTCTCTCGCAAGAGCGAGAGCTGCCGGGAGCTCAACCCGACAAACCAAAAATGTATGTGATATGACTTCATACAAATACCCATGATGAAATCACCTTTGGCATAGGCTCAGGGCTCAAAGACAGAGTGTACTCGATGTTGAAACGAATGAGACGGGTCGAAGGAATCTGCAGTCGGTTAGAGAGAAAGATACCCAGACACACAAATAAACCAGGGTTGCACACGCATAAGCATACACAGACAGAAAGACAGATAGACAGAAAGAAAGACAGAGAGACACAGACACACACACACACCTTTGACCTTTGATGACCATCGCCAGAGGCGATGATAGCAATGCTACGTCAGAAGCCATAGCAACTTGTGCTGGGATTGCACCATTCAACAGCTTGCAAGGCTGAAGAATTGACCATCACTATTCAGCCTGGTCTATACCATACAGCTATTTGAAGTGACTTTTTCTGGCCAGTGAATCCCAATTTTTGGTCTTTTTTGGGTCTTTTTTTGGTCACGCACACATACGCACACACACACGCACACACACACACACACGCGTGCACACGCACACACACACACACACACACACACACACACACACACGCGCGCGCGCGCACGCACACACACACAAACGCATACACACACACACACACACACGCACACACACACACACACACACACACACAAATGCAGCAGAGTGATAAAATACAAATTTCTCCAACATTGTACTAGAGATCGTCGCAAAGGTTTTCTGTCGTCCCGGAAACAAACATCGTTTAAATCATACTCTGACCCTCTTCTCCCCTCAGGTCCCGAACAACAATATTTTAATACACCTACAGTCCATTCATCGGAAACTGGCCCGCTGGCTTTTGAAAGTCGGATTTCGGCCGAATTGAGGATCAAAAACCCACTTTAAATCTCAAAAATCTGGGTTTTGGATCTGCTTCTCCATACATTTTGCCATGGCATACCTGTCTTAATTGTGTAAAACCTGGCTTAATTTCTATTTCCCTGTTCTTGGACATTTCTGGCCTCAAATGTGGCAGGGAGTAATTGCACGGGTCACACAATGCAGGATGTGCTGTTGTTTTCACGATATCTACAACTATGTGAGAGAGACACCAAAAAGTTAGGGTGCCAGTTTCCAATGAATGGACTGTAGATTACAAGTTATACAGCACTGAGGACTCACTGTCGAAGCTTCCAACGCCAAAACAAACCAACACCTAAAAAGGATACAGTGGTTCCTTTATAAACCCGCAGCATTCATGCTAGGGACATTCTGCTGGATTAGAAAATCTGATTTACTGCTGCAATGTGCATGAAAAAGACATTTTGGCTGCTCAAAACTATGCTGGTTCGTAGAGGGTGCAGGCTTAACAACAAAAAGAGGATGAAAAAAGTGTTTTACCTACGAGCTGCACGCACTAAGCGATCATCAGACAACTATTGGGCAGCCTGGAGCCTCTCTGTTTTGAGGGTGCTGGTTTACAAAGTGCTGGATTAAAGTGGGACGAGTGTACTGTGAACTCAACCTACCATAGACAGGTCTTCATGAGAGATCAGAGAGAAGCCCTCAAACTCGTACGGAATATCCTCGACGCGAATCGTGGTCGGGCTGGACGTCTGCAGGGCGAGCACGCAATGTTTACACAAGCATCAAACCCGACAAGTGCACAAACACAAACTAAGCCAATGAACTGACATCGGCTGCTGTGGGGATAGTTTGCACAGAGCTCTCGCACATCTATCACATGACCATATATGGACGGCCAGTCGGCCATGTTGCTCCACTCCTGTATCTATGGGTCACATGATGTCGGCCATATTGGCTCCACTGTCCACATGCGCCATGAGCAATTTCTACGCAACTTTTTAGTCACATGACCAAGATTCGAAACCAACCTATAGTAGCATTATACTACTGTTGTTGACATGGAAATCCGGTCGCACGTCTAGCGGCCCCAGGGTGCCGGCCAGGCAGCCGTGGATAAGCGGTACACACAGGCATTTATGCGCAGCAGCGCGCTAGTCGCATCGGATCAACACGTGCCCTGCACGCAGCGTTCTGTACGCGCTGAGGGCGCCGGCCACGGTCAATCGACCAGATTTCCATGTCCACGACAGTAGCATATGATCAGTGCATAACCCATGTCAGAACTAAAAATAAGAACGGCCTGGGCTACGAGGATGACTATCCAATTCTTCGGCAATCGAGAGTACTGTGGGCAAACACTTACAGCAAAGTTCTTCAGCGGGGACAACTGTATATGGTAGCAGTAGAGACGATCGCGATTGTTTGAGTTGGTCACGCATGGTGTGATACGCTGTGTACGTGGAGAGAGAGAGAGAGAGAGAGAGAGAGAGAGAGAGAGAGAGAGAGAGAGAGAGAGAGAGAGAGAGAGAGAGAGAGAGAGAGAGAGAGAGAGAGAGAGAGAGAGAGAGAGAGAGAGAGAGAGAGAGAGAGAGAGAGAGAGAGAGAGAGAGAGAGAGAGAGAGAGAGAGAGAGAGAGAGAGAGAGAGAAAGTTACGCTTATAAAGACAGGTAAGTTCAACAAATGAGATAGTGAGAGAGCCGGACAGACACAGAGATACTAGCCAGACAATGTACGCCTAACGTGCAGAAAGACACAGGATTTCATAACGCATCACAACTGCATATAAACACACACACACACACACACACACGTAGTCTAAGGGCCGGGTTATTCTGTGGCTGCGCTGCTCCGCGGCAAGTGCCAAAGCTGCGGCGTGCAGCACGGTTCCACTAACCCCGCAGATGTCGTGCAGCGGAGCCGCAGTGGAACCCGGCCCCAAGGCGCTTTGGACATTAACTGACCTCTTCTCCACGGTAGACTCCATGGAGAACTCCCTTCTTTTGTGCCTCCTCCGAGCAGGAGCAAAGCTTCCCAGTGTCGCTCTGACATAGAGGACACCACACATACGCAACACAGAATCCACCATTACAGCTTGTAAAAAATAAAAGAAGATGAAGGGGATAACCCGCACATGCTTCCACGCTCAATCGCCAGTATCATCAAGAGTACATGAAAAGCAGAGTGTGCAGCTTGGGGCCTTTTCTGCTATGGGTGTCTGTCACGGCGGAATTCCGCGATTACATCATATTTGGCGCAGATCTGAGGTGGGAAATGGCGTAGTGCGTACAACTGGGCTGCAGTTGTGCAGAAAGCTACCTGCTTGAATCCTGCTTGTACGCACTACATCACAAAAATGATGTAATCACGGAATTCCGCCGCGACAGCAACCCATCCAAGCTGCACACTCTGGTTTTCATGTACTCTTGGTATCACCCACACATGCATGAATTCATTCATGCATGTGTGGGTGCGAACGCATGCACACGTGTGCGTGCATATACCCATGCCACACACACAAAAACAAACAAACACACCATGTACCATGTACCATGTATACGCCCGTCGCAAGAGAAGCACGCAAATCTGCAAATGCACTGGATGTGCACCCACAGATTTTCTCTTATAGCAACGATAGCGACCAAGATCTGAATGAGACAGATCAAGACTTGCGCCAGATAACTGTCTAATCCACACAACTGGCGAAGCCATGTAAATCGACCACCAATGCACACCTGGTCTACACCACACGGAGTACATCGGTATAAAACGGCCAAGACAGTTATCTATGCACACCTGGTCTACACCACACGGAGTACATCGGTATAAAACGGCCAAGACAGTTATCTATGCACACCCTACACTTGCTGGGGTAACCAGTATAGACAGCACGCTGCTTTGATAGCAAACACACACACACACACACACACACACACACACACACACACACCTGTCCAGGTACGTTGGACCAGAGGTCAGCATGGGCAAAGACGCGGCCGTCCTCGTCCGGCGTCATGAGATCCTTCTCGGGTATCTCCGCGGGCGACCCATCCAGAGCACCATCATGCGGAACACGAGCATCAGAATTAGTACGCGATGCAGCATGAACCCCGGGCGATGGTACAATAGATGCCGCACTATCCACTGGGCCAGAGGCTTCTTCTCCTTCTTCCTCCGATTCGCTCACTTCACCTTCCTGCACACCAGCAAGAAACACAGAAGCCATCAGCAAAATGGAGGAGAATACATTGTATGGAAAAATGTGGGCACAAGTTATGCGATCAAGTCCACCGACTAAACCAGATCTTGAGCAGTCAGACGTGCACAAAACTGACAAGGAGTACTGAGGCATGCCACGGCATGAAAGTCAGCTTGAGCACTGCTCGGTAGCGCTAACCAATGGCCTTCCAACTTGGAAGGTTCATGGATATTAGCGCTAACTCCAAAGAGGGGAATGTATCGCATAACTTGTGCCCATATTTTTCCATGTTACATTTTTTTCCTTGGCTCGCCATCTGAGTTCTGTATGGTATGGTATTCTTTACTGTACAGCACCAAGTGAACAGGCAGTAATGGCTTTTCACCAGCCAATGGCTGGCTCTCACGACATGATGAAAAAGCATGATTGTCATGCTGATGACACGCATAAGTCGAACAGGGTTTCTTTCAGGGAATGCTACCTCTACTACTCCACTGCCTGGCCGCTAGAAACAGGCTGGGGAAACCCCGTCTACTACTCCACTGGCCGCTAGAAACAGGCTGGGAACCCCCGTCTACTACTCCACTGCCTGGCCGCTAGAAACAGGCTGGGAACCCCCGTCTACTACTCCACTGCCTGGCCGCTAGAAACAGGCTGGGAACCCCCGTCTACTACTCCACTGCCTGGCCGCTAGAAACAGGCTGGGGAAACCCCGTCTACTACTCCACTGGCCGCTAGAAAGGCTGGGGAAACCCCGTACAAAGGGAACACTAGACCGCGTGATGTGAATCTATGCAGAGTTGCTCACTCTTGGTCAGTGGTTTCTACAGGGTTGATACTGTCAGTTCAAATACAACGGTTTCAAAGCAAATGCAGGCGAAACCAAGCTCCCGATAATCAGAATCTTCAGGCCACTGGCCTACACAAAGCCGCAAACTTTCCAGTTACCAGCTCAGTGAACCTGCCTCTGTAGCCTGAAACTTCAACAACAACAGCAAGATAAAAACTGGACTTGGGCAGAAAGAAGGGATGGAGAGGGGATGTAGAGAGAGAGAGAGAGAGAGAGAGAGAGAGAGAGAGCGAGAGCGAGAGCGAGAGCGAGAGCGAGAGCGAGAGCGAGAGCGAGAGCGAGAGAGAGAGAGAGAGAGAGAGAGAGAGAGAGAGAGAGAGAGAGAGAGAGAGAGAGAGAGAGAGAGTGAGAGAGTGAGAGAGTGAGAGAGTGAGAGAGTGAGAGAGTGAGAGAGTGAGAGAGTGAGAGAGTGAGAGAGTGAGAGAGTGAGAGAGTGAGAGAGTGAGAGAATGAGAGAGTGAGAGAGTGAGAGAGTGAGAGAGTGAGAGAGTGAGAGAGTGAGAGAGTGAGAGAGTGAGAGAGTGAGAGAGTGAGAGAGTGAGAGAGTGAGAGAGTGAGAGAGTGAGAGAGAGAGAGAGAGAGAGAGAGAGAGAGAGAGAGAGAGAGAGAGAGAAAGAGAAAGAGGGAGAGAGAGAGAGAGAGAGAGAGAGAGAGAGAGAGAGAGAGAGAGAGAGAGACACACACACACACTCCCAAAATCACTGAGTCCTACCTCCAGGATGGGCTCAACCTCCATAGGCTCCTCCACCGCCGCAACAGTGGCCACGTTAACACCTTTTGGCGAGCTGAATATCGAGCGGAATTCGGCGAGCAGCTCGCACAGCTGTGGGGTACCTTCCAGCAGCTGGACGAAACAAAAGACACAATCCAACAGCAAAAAAATTAATGCAAGCTTGACTTACATGTGCGTCTTCTTTGAACAATTCAACTGCAGCAGGCAAGCACCACCAGGAGGCCATAACAGAACGTGAGCCTACCCAAGGCATGCAGTTACCATACACATGTACATAATAAATAATGTATCACACAAGAGAGAGAGATTGGAAGCTGTGTCGCAACTCTGAGTTTCATGTATCACTACGATCATCAGGCATTAGTAATGTATTATAATGTCAATCTAGATTCCACTTCTGATGTGACACAACTCCGTGTCCACTACTTGCATGAAATGAAAGATATAAGACCTAAATTGTTGTGTCAAGTTCCAGCCAACCAATGAAAGCATGCTCCCACAGAACTACGGCGACTCCCCCGATTCAGGCTAAGGCCTGTGGAGAATCCGTAAATACAAATACAAAACTAGGTTGGCATACATGTGCACACACAGCAGATGCACATGGGACTGCACCATGCAATGGGCAGTCCCTGCAGCCCTGCATACGTAATACATGTGTTACATACAACTCTTATCTGTCTCATGACAGAACTCGTACTCATCACAGTCAAGGTTCACAAGAAAAGTTCAAAGGTGCAGGCAATAATGAATGGGGACTGGATATCAATACTCCTTATGTGTACCAGGTCTGTGAACTGTGTGTATCTACGCAGTGACCTTTCGACTTGTTTGGGATGCATACGGCTTTAATGACATGTACAAATTAGGTACAGCTCATTACTTCATTGATGTCCATTTGTGGCGCTGTCCGGTATGGCAAGTGTCAGATCTCGCTTGCCACACCTGTAGATGTAGACCGTATTATGTCACTCACCTTATCTGCCTGGGCTTGACGCTTGTCACTCGTCATAACGATAGCAGGGACAGCAGGTATCTCTGCAGACGGAGTCAGCTTGGCATCCGTGGACTGACCCTTATCCGTGGCTACGGCATCAGAAGGGGCAGCTGCAGCCATCGAGTTGTCATGGCGACCATTCTCGCCTGCCAGATGAGACGAGGAATCTTCTGTAACTCCATTGTCGGCAGTTGACGCTGCAGGTTTGATGGTTTCAGGTGAGGCCGGTTTCGCACAGTCTGACATTGTCTGTGCATCTTTCGCAGCAGCAGCGGATGACGTCACGTCAAGAGGCGACGTCGCTTCTGTGGCTTCACCGGACGATGATGTCACTTGTGCCGTCTCACCGCTAGAAGATGAGGTGTCCGGCATGGGTGACATCGCAGCAGCCGACGATACACCAGAGCACGATGTTGGAGGATCGTTGGCGGGCTCGGCGAAGAACAGCATTGCCCACGGCTGCTCGCGAGCCAAATCCAGACTATACACGTCACCACGAGCACGTCTCATAGAAGACGCGGTTGGTACGTAATGCCGGCCATCTTTCGTCTTTGTGTGCCGCCCCCGCGTGCCTGGTGCGTGGGCCGGAACGACCTTGGGCGGTTGCACACGCTCAACACATTCGCTGACGTCCTCCGTCGGTCTCGATCGCACGGGATCCTCGCTGCTTCGACGCGTGACCGAGGGGGAGCGTTGCCGTCGCTTAGCGTCCGGTAGGTCCGCGACCGGGGATCGCGGGCGCGAGCGCTTCTGTGAGGCAGAGCGGTCGTCGGAACGCGAGCGCTCGCCGAACCTGACCGCCGCCGTGTCGGGCAGCTCGCCGTCACGGGGCGGCGGCCGCTGGTAGAGATCCGGACGGGCGTAGTCGCGCCCCTCGCGCTGCCGATACTGCCGCTCGTACTCCTCGTGCTGCTGCTCGCGTCGACGCAGGGCACTGCGCGGCGACAGGGGGGCGCGAGGAGGAGAGCGGGGTCGCTGCGGCGGCGGCAGTTCCTTCTCCGCGTGGCGGCCGGACCCGTCGGACGCTCGCCGTCTCGTCGGGGATACTGCCTGCCCGTCATCGGTATGATCGGCACTAGCTCCAGTGCCAGCACTCGCCGAAAAGAAGTCGTCCTCCCACGGTTGAGGCGAGGGTGCGTTCAGATCGCTCGCCCGTGGCAGCAGACGATCGAAGGCCTGCTTTCCGCCGGGTGCCTTGTCGGGTTCCTGTGCGGAGACCAGGCGCAGTAATTCCTCGCGATGGATACGCGTCACGCTGGTATCGGAATCCCTGCCGACGCGCTCCGCCGAGCTTGATCTCTCCGCGTGTCTTTCAGTTGATGACGATGCTCTTGCCCAGTCACGGGGTGGTGGAAGCGATGAATCTGCAGAAGGTGCTTCGCCGGTCTGCGCGCGAGAACTGCCGGAAACGGACGAACGAGCTTGCGAGCGATCGTCGATTAGCCGGGAAGCCATCTCGGACCCGCTTCTCTCGTTGTCCAGAGTGTAGGCCGAGGTGCGCACACTGGACGCGGGATCGTCGCCTCTACTGGTCCTCGAGTCCAACGGGTGAACCGTGCTGCTAGCCGATGCCCTGGCCCAGTCTCGGCCGTAAAAAGAAGCCGAAGATTCGGACTCGTAGCCTCCGCTGGTGGTATCACCAGGCGTGCCAGTGTTAGCCTCCGGCCGAGCAGGGCAGCTCGCTGCTGACGATGAAACCAGCTCTTCGAGGAGAGTTAACGGCCGCTCGTTGCGCGAATAGCTGGCGGCGGCAGACGCAGCAGGGGCTGCTTCGGCGCGTACGTCGGCCGGATGCGACGGCAAATCCGACGACCGTTCGCCATATCTGGTGGCCGAAGGTGACGCTGAAACCAGCTCATCGAGGAGAGATAACGGCGGATCGTGGCGCAAATAGCTGGCCGCAGACGGACCAGAGCCTGCGTCGGCCGCTTGCGACGGCAAATCCGACGACCGTTCGCCGTATTTGGTGGCCGAAGGTGACGCTGAAACCAGCTCTTCGAGGAGAGATAACGGCGGATCGTTGCGCGAATAGCTGGCAGCAGACGGACCAGAGCCTGCGTCGGCCGGATGCGATGCCAAATCCGAGGAGCGCTCGCCATACCTGGAGGCCGAAGGCACGGAGGCACGGCTGTTGGGCAAATGTGCGGGCTCGGCCGGAGTGCTTCGGCGGTCGTGATATGTGGCGGCTGGAGCCTGCTGCGTACGAGCGGCGTCGCTGGGATCACGGTGCACGGTGGTACGATGCAGTTCCGCAGGTCGCTGCGAAGTCACCGCCGAGGAGCGCTGTCCGTAGTTGTCCACCGTGGAGACCCTGGCGGGTGAGGAGTGTTGCCCGTAGCTCTCCACCGTGGAGGCCCTGGAATCGCGGAGCATGTCGCTGGACTCCGCCACTTCCCGTGCAGACACGGCAGACTGCCGCGACCAGTCGTACCCCTGTTGCTGCTGCGATGACGACGATGATGATCTGGCTTGCGTGCCTAGCTCGGCTTGCATGTCCGACCTGTACGCCGGAGCGGAAGCATGTGCCCACTCACGGTCGTAGCGCTCCTGCTGTGCGCCACTGCTAGTAGTAGCCGCATATCCCGGCACAGCTGCTGCCTCCGCTCGGCAGACATCCGCGCTCGTTGTCATCCCGTCCTGACTATAGCGATACGCCGATGGCGACGGCGCTGCTGCTGGTGCTGCTGGGGTGTGGCGAACGGCAGCAGACGGGCTGGTCGCAGCGGCAATGGGGTGGTTTTGAGGCGGAAACGATGACGACGACGACGACGACACGCCCGCTTTGCGACTGTACTGCGGAGCGGACTGCTGGCGAAACGTCGGCTGTGAGGGCATGTGCTCGTCAGAATAGAAGTGCTGCTGCCTAGCCGCAACTGCTGCCGAAGCACCTCGCACGTCCTGAGCGTGACCTTGATGAGCCGGAGGATGCGAGGCACCGGATGCGGAGCTAGCCCCGACGGCGGATGCCGTTCGACCATGGCCGCTAGCAGCAGCATAGCTCTCGCCGGCGTAGGCTGCGTGTCGGTCACCATGGTTACTCAGCGCGGCTGCCGAAGCCGCGTACTGACCCTGGTGCTGCGGTGCTGCCGTCGGTGGTGCTGGTGCTGCACTGTGCGAGGCAGGGAAACCAGGAGTGCTTCCGGCACTTGTGCCTTGTTGATAGCGTTGCTGATACTCGTTGGTTGGTACGGATCCGGAACCCGCGTCACGCTGATAACTGGAATGATAGTCACGTGGGTCCTGCTGCGACTGCTGATGGTATGTTTGCTGCTGCTGCTGTGGGTGCTGCTGTTGCTGCAGGTGGTGGTGTTGCTGTGGCGATTGTTGCTGGTGATACTGCGGCTGTTGCAAGTGGTGATGTTGCTTTTGCTGCTGCGTCTGCTGGTGCTGCTGTGCAGGGCGGTGGCTTCCGGACTGCACGGTGCCATGTCTTTGCTCTGCTGGCTGCGATGGGCCAAAGTTATAGAACGGTTTCGCACCGGACGGCTTTTCCAGACTTTCCCCCGATGATCTGCGGCGATCGGGTGGCACGTTTGAGTGCCCGGCAGCAGAATGGGCTGTGGCCTGAGGCTGGTACTGAGTCAACTGCTCGGCGTAGTAAAGTGGCTTTGTTTCGTCAGTCATGTCTCGTCCCGGGCTCGTCACGCTGCGAGCGCCCGCGTCCAAACTCGCAATGTGCCTGTTCCCCGCGTTGCTGTGAGGCGCGTTAATCTGCTGCGAGCTGGAGTTGGGATGGCTGGAGCTGTGCACTGCCCGGGAAGCGGCCCTGGGATCCGAACACCGTGGATTTGATGCATTGCTACTAGCAGCTCTTCCACTTGTGCTGGGGCCCTTGCTGTCCTGAGAATTGGCAAACTCGGGCTCGGCAGGGGATTCGCCTGAGAAGTCGGCAGAGAACAACTCGTTCGCCGTCAGTGGCAACTCACTGGCTGGCAGCGGAACGGCCATGTCCAATGGTGCAGTAGCGCGAGCATCCCGCCGCGCAGTGTTATCTCTCTCTGACTCTGCAGACCTCCGAGCTGAAACTCTGGGGTCCACTGAGCCAGAATTCGGCTGCCTGGACGGGGCGAGGTGACCACCAGGAGGCCATTGGCCTCTCTGCATTTCGGTTGACGGCTCTAGTCCAAGTTTCTTCTTAGGAATACTTTTTCCTACGTCCACTTTTGCCTAAACGAAGACGAGGCTGAAACATTTCTCAGAATTACTTCAAACACGGCTAACAAGCATAGCTGGACATGGGGTGGATATGGGCAGCCAAAAAGCCTTGCTTTGGCCGCTTCGGAAAAAAAAGAAACTCGAAAAATGTTGAACGCGTCTTCGCCGTAGTGCGACGCCATTATGTTTGTCATGGTGATTGATACGATCACGTGTTCAGAAAGCGAGGAAAAGCCACCCTTTTTTTCTAAACATTTGAACTGATGTATGAACACTGATCAGGGAGTCGTATTTTACGACTCCCTGACACTGATGTAAAAACATTGTTTATTTATTTATTTATTTTATATTTTTTTTGGTCCCATCGGCGCGGCCTCATATTTGTGCAGCTGCACTGTTGATTGAGCTTCCGATGTAGTAAAACAAAATAATAATAATAAGGCCGAGTAAAAAAAATTACTAGGGGTGCGTTTGGTTGGTACGATCTAGAACAGGATCGAACAGCTGGTGCACATGGCATATGGAGCAGCCTCATGCCAACCAAACGGTACTCCAGAAACAGAGCACATTTTTGTGGCAAAATGTGCCAAACTTGGTGCAATCTTCAAAATGTGTATGGGTCACCATGGTCACTTTGTACGGTACGACGAGTCCAACCCAAAATCGTATGCACGTGATCATTTGGGACCAAAATCGATGTTCCCGCCAGGTTTCACTGTGAAAAAGTGAAACTGCTCGGTCTGCTCCGATCCGGCCTCGAGGCCGGAGCAAGCAGAACATGTTCTGGCCGACCCAGAACAGGTGCAGTCCCAACCAAACGCGCTGTTCTGGTGAATCCTGTTCTACTATAGTTCGTACCAACCAAACGCGCCCTAGGGCATGTTCGATTGGTAAGGATCGGGATCGGGATCCAGATCTCAGATCCCTCGGATCCTTCAGATTCAACTGAACACTTTATCTTGGACCTTGACTGTTGCCATGTTGAAAATGGCGCTCACAAGGCACCCAAAAGGGTGAATGTCGTACTCATCGCGTGCGTCGTACAAAAAGTCAACAAGCTCTATCTCCATCCACGTGTGCGTACCACAATGTGTACAAAAATGATTTTTACCCGCCATATACGCACAAAGGTCACATTTGGATCCGTTGGATCCGGTCAACCCTGCTCCCCGAGGTGGGTTGACCGGATCCAAATCCGAAGGATCCGGATCCGGATTCGACCAATCGAAAGGGTGCGAATCCAGTGGATCCGGTGGATCGGGATCCCGATCCTACCAATCGAACATGCCCCTAGATGATCGTCCTTTTTTTTGGAAAAATCGGGGAGGGCGGGAGGATTTTATTTTTATTTTTTTACTTTTTACCCTCTCATGCATGCACACAGTGTACACAACAACATCAAGGTTTTTTTCTCTTTTTTTCTTTTTTTTTCTTTTTTTCTTTTTCTTTCTTCAGCAGATCGATACTGACGTTGTGATATACTAGTAGTATGTGGTCCATATAGTAAAACTCACGATTTAAAAAATAAAATATTTCTTGGGGCGCTGACAAAAACTGGGGCGGACGGGGACGATCATCTAGCTTTTTTTTTTACTTGGCCTAATAATTATTATTATTATTATCACTCCCCCCTCACGTGACCGCAGACTCCTGCATACACTCACACAATGGGGCTGTTAAGTGATGACGTCACAGTTCCTTCGATACGCATAGCAACGATCCCACTGGGGACAAACAAAAGTAGCGTCGTCTCCACCGAACCAGTTGTCACTGGCAACATATAGGAATCGTGTACATTTCTTCATTTCTTCTTTGCTGTTTTCAGTGAGTGTTTTGTTTTCTCTTTGTCCGTGATTTCGACGGTGTTGTCGTGCTCATTACCTTACTGAGACGTCTCTTGTGACTGTAGCCAGTGTCACGGACGATTTTATTGGCGTGACGAGGTAGATCGCCGAGATCGAGCATGAAAAACGCTCTGCATTAGTAGCTCCTGTAGAATGTTTTCTGGGATGGCGTATCGATGGTCAACAAAGCCAAGGTGCAAGACAGCATGAGAGATCGTGTAAACGATGTGAACTCCAAAAGGTAAGCTCCTGAACAAGTGGGAAGATATGTGTATTTACAAACTCTCTCTTTATCCATCGATTGCCGCTATGCATTGCATTTTGTCTTCACAGATAATCTGGCCAAATAAATTATATTGTAACTGGAGAGTGCAATCGTGCTTGGGACCCATCCCAATGTCATCACATGGCTGTGGTGACTAGTGTATACCTGGGAGAGTTTTTCCTCAACTGAGACGGAGTGTAGGTGGATGGATTATGAGAAATGCGAAGATGTGGAGTAAGTTGTGTCGAAGAAATGTGTAATAAAATAAAATTTACTTTACACTCAAAACATACACTGTACATGTACATGCAACATCATGATAATGATTCCATCGTCATATCTTCGCAACAGGTACGCCATACGCACCGAATACATTGTGTGTGTGCACGCGCGCGCTTGCGTGCGCACGTACATGCACACACTCTCGTGCGTGGCCGAGTTGGCCGGATGAACAGACCACGCATTTGCACGAGGTGTCCGTCATGTCATTGGAATGCTGTACTTTATGACTTTATTCCAAAATAGTATGTCTTGCCCCTGCCAAATGGAGTTTTGTCTATGCTCAGCGGGTATCGGGCCATGACACCACACTGCAGTCAGCGCTGAAATTAAAATAGCACTTCATGGATTATTTTAACTAATTTCCTTTGCGTTTACTTTGTCGAGCCCGTGGTTTCATTTCTGTGTTCTGTTATGATTGGCCTCTGGAAATAATCGGAGTGGATGTCATTTTTGTCATATGTGTGTGCCTTGTGCAACAGGTTCAAGGCTAGATGCACTTCACATTCGGCGTGCGATCTCGGCGTCTGGGACCTGATAACTTCTTGGTTGGATGGGTAATCAAGGATGATACTACTCGGCACACCAATGTACATGTCAATGTAATTTTTACTTTTTCAGAGCTGCACTATTTACGTCTTTATGCTTACTTCGGTGCTAGCGTGTTTCCTCCGGATTATTTCTATCATCATGCGTGTTCTTGGGCTGAGCCAGCACATGCACGAGTGTGTAGCTATAACCCTGTGTATCTTTGGTTACACTTTGTTCTGCAATGCATGTACCTTGTAACAGTATGTGCTTGCACTGCTTTGTGTGGCCTGTGTATTTCAGGACTATTCAGTGCATTAGACCCAGGTTGGTTTGGTTGCCGGATGATCTCTTGTTGCGTCGCTCTGTGTTTTGTATTCATCAATTTTGGGCTTGAGAATTGAGCTGGTGTGTGGTTCCCAATATGAAAACATCATGCTGGTGCTCTGTGTTTCGATTATCGACTGTCCGAGCAGTCACGATTCATTACCAGAACGGTCAATTCTGTAGTCTCTTGACGTGTTTGTCTTTTTGTGTTTTCGCCGGGGAATTAGCGGTGACGTTGCACATAGAACGGCAGTGTTGCGTCACTGGACGACCCTGCCTCTGTATCTGACTTCATTTCCCCAGGATCTGGTGCAGATACACCAGACAGTCACTTCCTGTAAACACGCAAACAGCAAAAGAAGAGATCCCGCAAATCAGGAAAACCCATTGTGGAAAATATCGAGTAGATCTTACACCATTCAATAATCTGGAGTAATTACAGTGAGACAAACACTTCAAACAGTGCTCTCTCTCTCTCTCTCTCTCTCTCTCTCTCTCTCCATCCTTCCAAAATACCCTGTAACAATTCCCTACAGTCCATTTCAAAACTATAGACGTGTAGGGTTTTTGAAATATTTCAAATTTGGCTGGAACTTTTTGAGAATAGTTTTCGGAATATTGCTCAGGACCGCTCCACAATTACTCTCATAATAATAGTTTCTAAACGATTGGATAACAGACGCCCAATTTGGAAAAATTTATGCACAAAGTGATCACAGATTTTATGTGGTATAGATGCTGGCATAACGGTTTTTGCCTAGGTACGCGTCTATAGTTTTGAAATGGACTATGGAATTATTTTATTTTATATTATCAGGACATCATTCTGAACATAATAACTTCTTCCATGGGTCTTCAATCACCACGGAGGGCGAGAATATATCTAAGTCATGCAGTTTACGGGAGGTGCGAGCTGTCATGGAAATAGAGGCTGATTTTGTGCCAGCGTGAGGGCAGAGACAGAAAGAAGACACTGATTTCTTGAACAACTCACCTACATATAATCGAATCCACAAGGGAGCGCTCGTACTTTGATCCATCAGGACGCGAAAAATCTTCAAAGCACTCTCAAACACGGAGTTTTACAGTGGGCAGCCAATTTCACAGCCATTATGAAGGCCCTCGACGACTACAGGAGATTTGTAGAGGAAAGAACAAGGAGTAAAGAGCGACAACAATCGCTTGCAGAAAAAGCAAAGAAAAACTGTTCTCTCTCCAGTCATTTAGATGCTGTTGCCCTTGACAACTGGTTCCATCCAGAGGACGCGACTTTTGTTTGTCCCCAGTGCTCTCCGTTGCTATGCGTATCGAAGGGGCCGTGACGTCACACTTAACAGCCCCATAACCACACAACTGTTTGGGGATAGCGCGCTTATTGTATTATGCCAAACTTGACACGCTGAGTCCAGCTTGACTCAGCTGAGTCCCTAACTGCAATTTACTGCTCTAACATGAAGCCGTGCCTGGAAGAAGGGAAAGAGCGAAAAAAGAAAGAAAAAAATTCTGGCCTTCTGCAAGCAATAGCAAGTAATGAGTGACGGCTGTGTAATAGGGGATTCACACACACGGGAAAACCTGAGGTCACGGGACAAGGTAAAAGTTCAGACCGTCGGGCAACTGAGTGGGGCCGTTCACACGCGTGGTCACTTTTCCCTTGGCCTCATGTCTGACCATGAATTATTTGTGGCGGGGGAGTACAAAACGTAGTCTGTACTGCATTTTTTGTAGTACATTTAGTACTATGTTTCGCATTCGCAATGCGCAATGCGTGGGTCCATTGTCTGCAATGCGTGCGAGCGCACTGCCTGAAAATGCGGGTTGCGATGCACTCGTACAACTAG